GGTCATGAAACTGAGCCCTGCATCAGGCTCTGTGCTGAGGGCAGAGTCTGCTGGAGATTCTCTCTCCCTCTGCCCCCACCCACCTCTTTCTAAATAAATAAAATCTTAAAAAAAAATAGAATAAAAAGAAGAATGACTATCAGTCCTTGATTGTCCTTGAAGAGGCCACTGGAGATTTCTCTTTAGTTAGTGCCAATTCCATTTCTTACCTGAGTACAGATAAATTGGGGATCTGGCTGAAACTTGCCTTTCCCGCCCACCTTCTACCTCACAGTTGAAGTTTTCTAAATTTCCCAACTACCCTGATTCCAGGCCTCAGCAATGGAATCGCCCATTTTCCCTAGTTCCCTGCTGCCATCCTTCCCATATCAGCCATCCCTGGTTTTCAAGACAGCACTGGGTGTCCCCTGGGGTGTTCCCGTTTCTTATCACCACTCCACTAAATGGAGTCGGTCTGTCTCCCTGATGCTGTGTCCTTCACGACACCGCACATTCCCTGAGGACAGCTGAGGTGCTAACTGTGCTCACCATTAAATGCCAACACAGTCTTGGTTATCACTGAATGGATGAATGAGTGCCTGAAGTGAATGTATACCTGGAAAAGAGCACGTGTCTGCACGGAGTGGAAAGATGTGGAGGAGGTGGAATAGGGAAGAAGAGGAAGGGAGGATTTGGACGAAAGTTATATTACCATGTACTCCCTTCTTTTTCTGTGACCTCCAGCCACTTTGACCAGGTGAGCCTCTTGGATTCTGTAAAGGCTTCTCAGTTTCCCCTGAATCAAGCCAAAACCCTAGGCCTTTCAAAGAACACGCAAAACCTTGTTTTTCTACTCTTTGGCTCCGAAATACCAAGTTGGGAATCTAGCCAAAGAAAATCGCAATAATAACCACTTAAATACAGAGCTGGGGGAGGGGTCAGCTCTAGAAACGTGTGCGCAGTTACTCATCTGGCATTATTTATAATAGTCAAAAATTGGAAACAGCCTAAATGTCCAGCAGTAGGATAGTGTACATCATGCCATGTCCCAAAGATGAAGTAACGTGCTCCCATTAGAAGAATTTAGTACTTTAAGAAAATACCTGTATTGTATGTTTGGTGAAAGAAGCAGGTTATAAACTAGTGGGTAGGTTACAAACCAATTGCTACTATATATGCTGTGCACAAAAATATTTTAAATACTGAAAAAAAAACCCACACTAGAATGATTTCAGGGGTTTTCTCTTGATAGTGGGACTATGGGTGTCTTTCTCATTCCTTTTTAATGTAACCAGGTGCTCTATGATGAACATACATGATTTTTTATAATCAGACACACAAAAAAATTTGCCTAATTCTGTAACTCTTTCAACTGTTCTTTCCTGGGGAAGTCACTCTCCACCTGCTTTGTTCAGTCAACCCACACCCATCCCCAAATCCTTTTCCTGAGCTACACTATCAGCCTGTAAGGACCAGCACTTTGCCAGGTGCTCCCTCCAAACACTCAGGCAGCTCCTGAAGGCACACGCTTCTGGGAAGCCTTTCCTGATCACCAAGAGGAAAGAAGACTGGCTCATGCCCACTCTGCCCAACACGGTGCTCGCCTTGTCCAAGAAAATCCCCAGCCTCTTTGCTGGTGCTTGACCTCAAGGGACTGTTTCCTGATGTGGCCCAGCAGCTGGTGCAGCTGACTGTGTGTGTGTGTGTGTGTGTCTGCACCTGGTGGCCGGGCCAAACACCTAGAAGGAAGTTGAGCTGTAGTGGCCACAGGTCTCATCCCTGTTGATGAGGAAGCTGAGAATGACTCTTCTGTCTGCGTGTCCTGATTTGCCACAGGAAAGACTTCTCTTGGCCATTTAAAAACCACCCAAACAGTCTTTAAACAACTTAAGAAGTGATCAAAGGGGTTTGTACTTAACCTGGACCAGCCACCTTCTTAATGGAGTCAGCCCGACGCTCCGTAAATTTGGGAGGAAGTGAGTGTGAACCAGTAATGCGGATGTAGCTCGAAAGCACTTAGATGTTTTGTGAGTTGATTTGTCCAAGAATACATCCAGCTTATTCCTGAACGGGAATCAAATTAGAAAGACCTTTGAAGGAAAAAGTTAGTGGGTCAGCAAACATTGGAGGGCTTACCGAGTAGCTGACACATCTCAGAGCACTTGTGAAATTCTGTGGCTATATCAAAGCAATAAACAAATCTGAGTGATTGTTCCTGCAGAACTTCCTGGTCATGTGTTGCACCCACATGAAGCAGAACAAGGAAGGCTCGGAGGGGAAGATGCACCGTCTTGTGGTGCCTTCAAGAAAGGCGCATGTGTCTTAGCTCCTGTGGCCTTTTGAGCTAATTACCTTGGCCTGTGTGTGATGAAACATGATGGCGTTAAGGATCAAGATAAATTGGGTATCCTGTCATCGACCTTTGGTGTTTTTGAAACCGAGAAAAAAAGATTTGGTGTGCCAGGCTTCCTCATCAGTCTGGTATCTCACCTGTCATCTTAAACAAGGTAAACAAACCACAGGCATATTTTTCTTCCCCGCAGAACTGCACCCTTTCTCGTGAGTGGGTCTGGATACTGTTTGGCAATTGGAATTGAGTAGAATGGGGGTGGGGGAAGCATTTCTTAATTCTACCCTCTTCTCAAATGTCTGAAGCAGAATAACGAGTAGGCGAGTGTCACATTTGTTGCCTCTTTTCCACTCCTGCTCTCTGAATGCAGATCTTAGTCACGTTTTTCTTAAGCCACCATAGCTGGCATTTCCTCCCAGTTGATCTCATGAAGGCCAGAGGTGCTGGGATCCCCAAAGGAAGCAGAGATGGTCTTCATTCTGCCATTTCCAGGGGTCAGGTTTTGTTTAATGTGATATAGAAGCCAAGGGTGAAATGGAAATGCTGGTACGGGAGAGGGGTTTTGAGGAACTGACAGGGAAAGAGAGAGAGGAGGGATCAGGGATGGCAGGGAGAGGAACCTGCGTGGGGAGTCTTGGGTGCTGTCATTGGGTTCCCTGTGAATTGTCTTCTTCGTCGTCCCAAGAGATCATTAGGAAAATATCCATTTCTTGTTGGTACACTATCAACCAACAACCTGTTTGTTGAAGGAATTCACTCATGCATTCACTCAACAAATATTTATTGAGAGCCTGTCATGCACCAAGCAGTGTTCTAGGTGCTGAGGATACAGTAGTGAACAAAAACATACCCAACACAGAACAACATGGATGAATCTTCAAGCAATTCTGCTAGGAAACGTCAATCCTCAAAGGTTAATACTGGTGATTCCATTTATATAACAGTTTTGAAAGGACAGAATTTTAGAAATGGTGCTTGCCAGGGGCTAGGGATGGGGTGGGAGGGTCATGGTGGGAGAAAGCTTGTATAGTGGTAAAAAAAAATCACCACATGAATCCTTGTGTTGATGTGCCATTCAACATCTTGACTGTGGTGGTGGATATAGGAATTTACACATATGATAAAATTGCATAGAGCTAAACACACATAGTAATGTGTACAAGTAAAACTGGGAGATCTGAAAAAGATTTGTGGATTGAATCAATGTCCGGATCCTCCTGGTTGCAATACTGTACTATAATGCTACTATTGGGAAAACCAGGTAAAGTCCATGCAGGATCTCTTTTGTATTATTTCTTAGAACTGTACATGAATCTACAATTATTCCAATAAAAATGTCCAAAAAAACACCCCCCAAACAAAACCCAACACCCAGACCTGATGGAGCCTCCATTTGAGTGCGAGCTAAGTGTGGCTTCATGGTGGCCAGAGGGCAAAAGTCAAGACCATCCTTGAGAGGTCTGCCCTCTGGGGTACTCCATGCAGTGTCACCAGAGATTCCTTCCTGTCTTCGAGACATGTCATTGAATCCCTACCAATAACCGAATGAAATCCAGACTTAGGGCAGGAGGCAGGTGCGGAATGAAGGTGGACTCCCAGCTCCCCCGACCCTATGACATGGGTACGTTGGAATTATTCAGCCTGCCTTTGGGTTGCTAAACCAGGCACCCACTAGACTACAAAGGTGAGACTCAACTATCCATGGGGGTTCCCGGTGCTCATGTGGGACCCTTCTTGGCTTGTTCCCAGCTTCCACCATCGCCACCACCAACCTCCTTTCATCTCTGTGCAAACACCTGTCCCATCCTGGCAGCACATTCATTTTGGGGAACCTACTTTCCTTGGGAAACCACAGATACTGGCATGGCTCACTGCCCCAGTTCTCAGCAAGAACTCCTCATACCAGCCCAGGCCTGGGCCTCAATCCTTGATTCTAGCCCCCTGACCATGGCTAGTTGGGTCAGCGTCCAGCCCCCCACCCCCTCCTGCAAAGGGGGATGCCCACACCAATCTGTCCCACTGGGTGTACAATGGGGCATCTAACAGGCTACAAACTGGCCAACTCCTCTATTTTATTGCCATAGAAGAACTTCAGAGGAAAGAAGCCATGCAAAAATTAAATAAGGTTGGAACAGACTTTGAAGTTTTTATTATTTTAAATTATGCCATGCCTTGCATGGAATGACCACAAAGCAATATGCCTTCCTGATCACACAATTTACTAACAGGGCATGGTGGAGAAAGTTAGAACTCCTAGATGCACAAGCTAGTTTACTGGAAAGAGGGAGAGAAGGGGCAGCAGGAAGGAGCAGCGATAAATATTTACTTGTCTCTTCTCTGAGATGTCAGTGGTTGCCCATTCTAAGAAGGATGATTATGTGACTTAATACAATTTCTGGTCACCATCGTTATAATAAAGGAAAAGGGCTTTCTTAGAAGTGCTTGAGCTAATCAATAAACATTTGATCCACTTTCAAATAAGGTTTTTATAGCCAAAATAAGTTGAAAGAAAAGATACAGACAAGCACTATTTCCATACCTTTGTCTCAAAGCAGTCACACAAAGAATAAGTGCAAAGCGAAATGAAGGACCTCCCCTTCACTCAGAGAGGGAGCAAGCCTGGAGTCCTGTGGGAGCCTGCCAGTGGAGCCATTCTGCCCAGGGCCCAGGGCCCAGGCCCCAACCCAGTCATCTCTGAGGGGCCACGAGACAGTCTGGAGCCCCGTCCTGCTCTTCCTGGGAAGGGGCCTGCTTCCTCTTGTCCCAGTCTGTGTCCTGAATGAATAACCCATGGAGATCCAGGTGCATCTCTACATCAATGGATGCACGAGCCAATTCTGTAAAACTTTTGGCATCCAGAATAAGCAGAAAAGGCAGCCTTTGGGGATCGGTAGAGACGATGGCTGATAGGATAATCCCTTTGGGGAAAGAAAAAGAGGCACTTTGTAAAAGTGTGGACTTGAACTTCCTGCAGCTGGAGGGATAAGTTTCTCAGCTATAGCTCCCTGTTCTCTTTGAAGTAAGTATGGAATCAAAACAAAAGGAACTTTGAGGACTTTGAGATTCTGTGGGAGCAGAAGGGAAAGGTCAGGGAAGTAGGAATCAGAAGACCTGGTTCCAGCCCTGCCGGGGCCAGTCCTTTTACCTCTCCGAACCTTAGTCCATTCATCTGCAGAGTAAAGAGAATCCTCCCTGCCCTCCCAGGGTTGCTCAGAGAATCTCTTGCATGGTGAATAATGAAAGCATTTTGTAAAGTATTGCATGCATTGGAGAAAGGCTATTTGCCTACTATTTAGAAAGTCTGATTATAGAGAATCAGTTTTGATGCTGCATTTAGGCTAATATATGGCACTTAGCTAAAAGACTAGCTGCACTCAACAACATTCGAATGAGCCCAATCCACTTTATGCACAGGCAGCACGTTGGTAGCCTCAGCCTTTCCCTCTGTAAAATGGACATACTCTAAGTACTCACTCTCAAGGGATATAGGATTAAATGAAATAATGCCCCTAAACTTCCAGCAACTACTTGTGATTCCTCCCAAGGTCTCCTGGGTCTCAGGGTGGTTGAGCGTAGTTGAAGTCAGATTGGCTTAGATTAAAATCCTAACTCTGTAGGCACTGGGTGTGTGGCCTTAGGTAAGTTGCATCATTCTCTCAGCCTCTCCTTTGGTGAAATGAAGACATTGCTACTCCCTGCCCACAAGAGAAAGTAGGGGAAGCCCTGGGCCTGCCCAGTAGGAGGCCAACTTCAGCAGGAGGTGCTACCAACAATCCCCCACCTCAGAGGTGACGGTAACGTGGGGTCCTGGTGTGCCATGCCATGCAGGATCAGTAGGAAGTCATGGCCCAGGCAGAAAACCACTCCTTCTCACCTAAGGGAAACAGTTGGCAGCTCAGGGGAGCAGCCCCACCCATGGTTCTGGTCACCCTACTTAGCATCCCCAGGAGTACGAGCAGGGATTTCTGGGGCAAAGGCAGAGTCAAGGAGGGAAAGGACCATTTGGTCATATGGAAATCTAGAAAAGAGAGGTGGGCCACAAATACACACTTACAGGTGCTCCATACAGAAGATACATGCTTAGATAGGGTTAAGAATTCTGTCCCAGCCATTGCAATGAATTTTAAAGTGGAAAAGAAGTGGGCTTTTGTGTAGTAAACAATTTAATGTCCCCCAAAAGGAGATCTGATCTTTGCTTCTGGGAGGTGACTCTAAGCCCTCGTAATGTCCTCCCTTATAAGAGTGTCTTTATTTATCTGGGGCCAGCCTGATGATCTATCCTAGCAAAGTGAATTAGATGTCAGCTTGACCTCCAGAGGGGCTGAAGGCTAAAGGTCAACCACATAGCCAACCAACCATGTCTACATGACCAAGCCCCTAAAAAGCTCTGACACGAAGGCTTGGGTGAGCTTCCCTGGTTGGTGACATTCCATGGGTATTGTTGGAGGAGTTGGGGTGGGCCGTGACCTCCTGGGACAACCAGATACTCCGGGAATGGAATTCTCCTGGATTCTGTCCCATGAGTGTGTTTTCTTTCAATCTGCAACCTTTTACTATGATAAAGCATAACCATGAATAGAACAGATTTCAGTGTATTCTGTGAGTCCTATCGAAACAGAGGGTGGTCTTGGGGACCCCTCAACTTGCAGTTTGTGTCAGAAGTGAGGGTGTTTTGAGGGACTCCTTAACCTCACCGCTTTGGACTCAGACAGACCTGGGTTTCCAAGCCTGGTTCTACCAGCTCTGTCATGTGGGGGTTGTAGAGGGAGGGTCACTGCCCCCAAACAATGTCTCTGAGGGGTGATCACAAACAGAGTGTGGCAAGCGGGCTCCCCTTCCTGGAGTCTTACCATCATCCTCGTCCTTGGCACCCGGTGTGGGTACAAACAGGGGTTCTGCTGGCCAGCAGTGCTCCTGTCCCCATTTTAAGGATGACTTTGTGAGAACATCGTATTTCAGTATCTGTACATCCAAAGAGGAAAGACAGGTGAGTGACTTGTTGGAGAGCATGCTCATTCCCTGGGAACCAAGGACATCAATGCCCACAGACAGAGGGGTTCAAGCCCCTCCAGCGTAGACTCCAAATGACATCTACCTGGGGTCAGTATAACAGCAGAAATGAAAGCAGCTAGCTTCCTCCTCCATCTTTAAGCAAAGGTCCTCCTGCCATCCAATAACTGACACTACATACTGAATTTTTAGAAATAAAAATCCTGACTGAGCCATCCAGGCACCCTAGGATGATTCAGACTTTTAAGGATGACTTCTAAATATCATAAGAAACACTCATTGAAAAGAGTTTTTATGTATTCTTTTATAAAATGTTTTGAATCTTACAGAATAAAAATGATTGTTCAAAAAAAAATCTTGAATTTATCTGGCATTTGGCACTACATTGCAATTTTTGTATGTGTTCAATGAATGTATTCAATGCAAACACTTAAAGTGTAATACGATCCTTTTGTTCTTTTAAAAGGGCAAGTCCCTGGATTTCTCTTAATCCCTAATAGACCTGTTTCCCCTTAGGGTGTGGGATTAGTGGGGAGTATGTTTGTGTGAACCTTCATTTTTTGCTTTGTACATTTCTGCACTGCTTCCATTTTTTAGAAGAGATATTCTGTTTATTATTAAAAATGAAGATATTAAAGACAAGTTCTATCTGTACACTTAGCATAGTCCCCGGGATACAGGTAAGTGTTCAACAAATAGTAACAAATAACAATAACTAAATGCTCCAAGTTTCGGCCCTCTGCTTGAAAGGGTGAGTTCCTGGGCGCCTGGGTGGCTCAGTTGGTTAAGCGACTGCCTTCAGCTCAGGTCATGATCCTGGAGTCCCGGGATCGAGTCCCGCATCGGGCTCCCTGCTCAGCAGGGAGTCTGCTTCTCCCTCTGACCCTCTTCCCTCTTGTGCTCTCTATCTCTCATTCTCTCCCTCTCAAATAAATAAATAAAATCTTTAAAAAAAAAAAAAAGAAAGGGTGAGTTCCTTGAGGGCAGGGACTGGGATCGTCCCATCACTTCCTTATCCTCACTGCCACCATGCTGTAGCACACGGTTGGTGCTCCATAAACATGTACTGAATAAAGAAATCAGTGGATGACCTACAGCTGTGACCTCTTTGCTGTGCTTCAGTCCATCAGATAGGGCTGCCTCTCTTGGAAGGCCCATCATTGCTTCCATTGTATTCTGTCCCAAACAGACTTCACTCTCTGATCTGCCCTCTGCCCCCAAAGGGACCTCCCTTTTCTGATCAGGGTCACCCAGCCCAAGAACCTAGAGTTGAGCTTTGCAGGCAGACACAATCATTGTAGGGAGCGCCAGCCCAAGTCACATAGGGATCAGTACCTTGGTTGGGATGGGACTCCACTGAACTTCAGCACCAAAGACATAGCGGTATGGCTTTCCGTTGTGAGCATAATTGATCCGAGGCAGTTCTAAGCCTGAAGAGAATGACATGGATGGCCAATGAAGCCCCCATCACTGAGGGCTGGGAGCATCCACCCTTCATGCCAGGCTGGGCATCCTGTCCACAAAAACAGCTCCCAGTCCAGGATCCCTGAACTTGCTTCAGGCCCTGGATTAGATCAAGGTCGGTAACAGGGCAGGGGGAGGGAAACTCTGATAATTACCTTGGCTCTATTAGAAGGTTCAGGAGCAAGGAAAGAGAGACCTAGTTTTTTTTAAGTGTATAAGCATCTTTAATTATCCAAGATAGAAATCAAAAAGAATTGCATGATTAAAATCAGAGGCTACTGCAATTTTTTTAGAGCTCTTTAAAAAAATAAAGTACTCATGTGTGCATGCACATGTGTGGGGTGTGGAAAAAACTTCTGAAGCTATGGAAAGGGATGTCCATGGGGAATAGTTAAATAAATCTGGCGAATTCACATAATAACCTAAGTAAAACTAATGTTTACAAAGAATTTTAATAACATGGGAAAGTGTCCATATCATAAGACAAAGTGTAAAAGGCTGGTTATAGTATTATCTCTACTATGTTACAAATGTAGAGAAAAGGTTTGGAAGCATTGCAGGGGTAATAACTTCCTTATAGTTTATATTTTATATTGTACACTGTAGGTTTCTCATTACATGAAATTTTTGTTACGCCTTTTACTTTTGTAATAAAAAAACCTAAATATTTTGTCCATGTACATGCATACATATATGCCTGTTGTGTCAAATTAAATTTCTAAGTCTGAGGGCTGAAATGAAAATTCCCCCTCTTATGGAATATTCCAAGCAGTCAGAGCCAACTGCTGGTGAAAATATAATGTCCAAGAAAAGAGGAAGCAGGCATGGAAAATCTGCCACACAGAGCCCTCCTGAAAAAGACCCAGGGCATGAGTGGTTATCGGGCTTGGGGGGAGTGCAGGGGAATGGCCTGTTGAGGTGGGAAGATGTCCAGGCCCACAGACAAGTAATCATGAAATTTTCAAGAGACAGGTCACAGTGACTGTGAGCTGGAAGGACCACCCACATACAGAAATCAGAAAAAGGTGCCACAGTTGCCCCCAGAGTAGGTCTGAGACTTCGCATGGTGCTCCTGGACCTGAAACCTGGTCTGGGGACCAACTCCCCCCCCGCCCACCTCCACCCTGTCAATGACTAGCCTCAGGAACTTGGTTAAGTAAAACAGGATTTATCCCTGTAAATTCTGTGAGGCTACTGAAACCATGCTCTTGAAGAATCTTTAGGATGTGCAGAAATTCTCAGGCTATATTCATTCAGTGGAAGAAGCCATTTCAGAATATTCTAGATGGTACGGTATGCGTTGTGTAAAACTATAAATGCAGAGGTTAAGGGTTTTTGAGTCTGAGAGACCTGGGTTCAGATCTTGGCTCTGCTGCCTATCTTTGGCCAAGTTATGGAATTATCTTCAGTTTTGCTGTCCTCAGTTCTAAAACAAGAAAGACATGTGCCAACACCTGCCTCCCAGAGTTGTTCTGATAACTTCTACCTTGTGCTGGACTCTCACTATGGGCCAGGCCCTTGGTGAAGCACTCTATATGTGTGAATTCATCTAATGTCAAAGATAATGGGATGAGACTGTTGGGGTGAGGTCTGGGAAGCTCTAGAAGAGGGCCTGGCATATGCCAAGCACCCTGTACATGACAGAACGACAATGAGTATTTCCAAAGGGTTGCCATGGGTGAAGGGATTATGAGGGATCTATCTATTTACATACTTTTCAGGATTGCCCAAGATTGCCACAGTAAGCGAGAATTCTCTTCCCCGATACAAAAAAGACCACAACGTTTTAACCCTCCATCTGCCCAATATGGCAAGTGAGTGGAGATGCAAGTCAATGCCTTAAGAACTGGGACCAAGGGGCGCCTGGGTGCTCAGTCAGTTACGTGTCTGCCTTCAGCTCTGGTCGTAATCCCAGAGTCCTGGGATCAAGCCCCATGTGGGGCTCTCTGCTTGGCGGGGAGCCTGCTTCTCCCTCTCCCTCTGCCTGCCATTCCACCTGCTGGTGTGCGTTCTCGCTCTCTTTGCCAAATAAATAAATAAAATCTTAAAAAAAAAATCTATTACCAAGATCTATATATTCACTTCCAAAGACCCCCAGTGCCTGGGGTGCCACCCAGAACCTGTTTCAGGATCCTAGGATGCTATTTTACAGCAGTGGTTCTTATGGGCAAATCTGGGGTTGTCCTAACAAAGTCCCCAGGACAGTGTCCTTCCAGATGTGTGCACCTGGCGGGAGCCAACGTGAGAGCAAAGCAGAGCCATGCCTGGCCACCCTCTAGCTGAGTGTCCTGGACAAGACCATTCATTCCACACCTGTGTTGAGGACGGACCCCTCTAAGCCACACTTCTGTCACATGCTGGGGATACACTGAGCACAGAAACATAGTCCCTGCCTCACAGGCTTATATTCTAGGGCAGTGGTTCTCCATCAGCGTGATGGCGCCCCCACCGGACATTGTCTGGACATGTTTTTGGTTATTCCAATTCAGGGTGCTGGTGCTACAGGCATCCGGTGGGTCAAGGCCAGAGGTGTTGCTCAGTATCCTACAGGGTGGCCCCCCGCACAAAGCGCGACCCAGGACCCCCACAAAGTGCGACCCGGCCCCAAATATCAGGGGTTCCCAGATTGAGAAGCCCGGCTCTCATGGGTGTGACTCTTACTGGAGGGGTTTACACTCTGTGTGGAGCACAGCCTTTCTGAGCCATCTCCTCCTCTGTCAGATGGGGCTGATGGCCCCTGTTCTACAGGGTATTCTGAAGGTGTAGAAGTGGCAATGCAAACACACTGTCCCTGTTCAGTAAGTCAGCGTTCAATAAATTGGCGCATTTATAGAGGCCAGCCGTGAAAGTCATCTGGTCCAACGACCACCCCCGCCCCAGTACCTTCCTGGGAGCTGTTTGAAGATATATGAAAGAGAACTGTCCCCAAATGTTTTCCACTGGGGCACCCCAAGAGTCTTCTTGTTTGTCCCTTGTCGGTGCACAGCTTCTCTGCATCAGAAGGAGGTACAGAGAAGTCTCACGGGAATTCACGAAAGCCTGCCCCTTCCCTAAGCATCTGCAAAGAGGATGCATTTTACCTTCATAAAGCAACTCCGGCTGGCAGTAGACCTGGTCATCTTTTTCCTTCAGGGCTCTTGCTGTTGTAGATGCCAGTTTGATTAAATTTGAGCCCACTTCTGCATCCTGAATCCGTTTTCAAAAAAAAAAAAAAAATTGAAAACTGGTTATCCAGAGCAAACACTTGCTTTACTGTGTACATTAAAAAAAAAAAAAAAAGTGCTTTAGTGGATGTCATCTTGTTCTGGCCTTATGTGAACCATAGGAAGCAGCTATCATATTGTTGGTATTTTTATTCTTATTCTCTGAGACCTCGTAGCTGGTAGGTGGTAGGACGGGGGTCCCAAAACTCCTGGCTCTTTTTTCCTACTGTGGGCTACCTTATCTTTCACAGGTGAAATTAATGTATTGGTAGGTTCTCACTTTTTAAATACTGGCTGATTCGCCTGTGTAAGGCTGCATCGGTCATTAAAAGGATGTTTATAAAGAGTTCATAATAACATGGGAAATGCTCATGATAAAATACCGAGAAAAGCAGTAGAGTAAATTGCATATGCAGTCTGAGCTCAATAAGCTTAAAAAGAACTTATGCTGAAAAGAGCCTGGGGGAAATATACCAATTATTAACAAGACAGCAGGCAGTGGGATTATGGGGACTTCCTTTTTCTACGCTTATCTGTATTTTCAGCATTTTCTCCTATGAAAATGTACCACTGCTGAAATGAAAACAAATAGGCAATAAGAATTGCTTGGGAGTGAAGGATCTATGGAGGGCATTCCCTGGTCTCAACTTATAATCAGACTTTATTCAGTGCCTTACCATCATCATGGTAACCCAGGAGAGGGATTTAAAACAATTGATTAAATATTTATTGAGCTTCTACTACTATCTCTGGAGTTCTCTGTCCTTATCTGTATAATAAGGTACAGTAGATGCATCATGCAAAGAGTATACGCATCTCCAAGTTATTGTGCAGATTAAATAATCCATGCAAATGGTTTACAAGAGGGTCTGGTTAATAGTCTGCTAAATAAATGTCAGTTGCAGTTGATAATGTTGTTGTTGTCATTTTAAAGATTATTTACTTATTTATTTGAGAGAGAGCAAGCTCAAGCAGGGGGAGCAGCAGAGGGAGAAGGAGAAGCCGGCTCCCCACTGAGCAGGGAGCCCGACGTGGGGCTTGATCCAAGGACCCGGGGATCATGACCTGAGCCGAAGGCAGACATTTAACTGACTCAGCCACCCAGGCACCCTGGTTTGTTTGTTTCTTTCTTTTTTTAAGATTTATTTATTTATTTTAGGGAGAGAGAGATCATGCGCATGTGAGTGGGAGGGGCAGAAGGAGATGGAGAGAGAATCTCAAGCAGACTCTGCGCTGAGCGAGGAGCCCAATGAAGGGCTCAATCTCATGACCCTGAGATCAGGACCTGAGCCAAAACCAAAAGTCAGATGCTTAACCAAATGAGCCACCCAGCCTCCCCTACATTGTACATTATTATTATTATTATTATTATTATTATTACCACCACAGGGAGTGAGTGCAGTTTAGGCAATGAAGGAGGAGAAATAAGACCAAGCCCCTGCCTTCATGGAGTTTACAGGTTGAGAATTATTGTTATGGCTGACTTCTCATTTAAACTTTTCTCTACTTTCCAAATTTTCCAAAATGGGATTTTATAATTAACAGAAACTTATTTGAATGATACCAGCTTTTTGCTGGGAAGGGGGGTAAATTTGCTGCATCCTAGCAGTTGAACTGCAGGGGCCCTCCGAGATTTGTTTAGTTCAATCCCTAGTTGACAGAAGAGGAAAACGAGGCCCAGAGAAGGAAAGTGAGTTGCCCAAGGCCACACAGAGGAAAGGAGGGTCTGGGCCCTTGGCAATGCAATTCTGCTCAGAAGCAAGGGCACTGTAGGCAGAGGGCAAAGCAGGTACAAAGGCCCAGAGGCTGGCCTATTCCCATCCTGTATGTCTCTGCTCAAATATCCCCTTCCTTAACATTTCCATCTGCAGTGTCGCCCAAGGCATTTGTCCTGAGCTGTAATTATCTCCTGTATGGAGCTGCTTCCTTCTTTTATGTTGTCTTCCCCTTGAAGACGGGACCAGATTTTGTTCAGTGCATGGCACATAGCTCCCAGGAAGTAACTGCTCAATGAATGAGTGAATGCATGACTCAATAAGCTTTCCTTCCACTGTCAAGGTGCAAAACATGTGCTGTACGGGGTAGTTGTAGGAATTAAATGAGATGAAATGCGTGGAAAAGTCGCCCGGCACTCAGTACATCCACCTGTACCACACCACAAAGCAGCGGAGACTCTACCTGGTGCCTTGCTAAGTCACCTGACAGCAACAGGCCTGTTGTGCATGCCCTGGGCCTGCATCGCAGGGAGTCCGTCTGCAGAGACGTCTTCTAATTCAAGCCTGAAACTGGTCAGACTGGTTGAGGGATAAACTGAATTTTTCCACACAGCAGTAATGAACGTGACTTGGCTGCTTTTGGTGGTGGCCAGTGTGCTCAGCTTTGAGAAGAAAGGGCTTTCCAGCCCAACGTCACCAAAATCCTACAGGTTTGCTTTGAAACCCCTTAGCTGGAGGGAACTCCCGGGAGAAGTGGCCATCTCGGTAATTCCCCGAAACCCTGGCTTTGGGGTTCAGAAGCCCGCTGTGTGAAATCAGACTCTAAGGATTTCTATGTGAGCTTGAGCAGCCTCTCCCCACCCTCAGCCCTCGTGCCTCCCCGAGCCCATTTCCTGGTTTGTAAAATATGGGGGCAATTCATAACTTTTTGACGGGTGGTGACCATAAGGGGCGTTGCTTTGACTGGTGTCTGAAGACTATGGTTACAATTAAACAATGGTTATAAAAACACCTGGTCCAGGGCCAGGCACATCATAGTCAGTTACTCAGAGCCAGACAGACATGCATTCAAATCCCAACTCAAACCCCACAGGTGTTCCTGCAGTGTTGGGCAAGTTACTTTTTCTCTCATCTGTAGTCACGGGGATAATAAACAACATAGAGGGGTGTCCTACTGATTAGGTGAGAAGCATGCAAAACATTTAATAGTTCCTAAAATTTGCAGGACCCAGGACAAGAGTGGAGACCCACCGCCCTAAGTCTAAACACACTGAGCAAATTGTTAAGTGAGATACCATTCTCTCCCCCTACCTTGATACAGAGACCTTCATAATGTGGAACTGCACTGTCCAATATGGTAACCACTGACCACATGTGGTTATCTACATTTAACTTAAAATTAAGTACAATTAAACATCCAGTTCCTCAGCTGCACTGGTCGCGGTTCAGTGGCCCACGTGGCTAGTGGCTACTGCATTAGACAGAGAATGCTTCATCATTGCAGTGGATTCTTTTGCACAGTGCTGGTCTGTAAGGATGTATGAATTTGGAATTCTAGGACTCCTTGGAGTTTTGAGCCAGGTTAGGGTGGCAGAATGAGTGCCAGCCTCTGGGCTCAGGTTCTTTGTTTCCTGCCCCCTTTTCTTCCCACTGCACAGATTCCCCAGCCAACATGAACAAGCCAATAGCCAACTCTGGCTACCTCGTGGGTCTGAGGCCACTATACCAGTGGTGCAGCCTGCTTTTAGGAAGAGACAAGCAGGCACCAGAAGCAGTCTTGGGGCTATCTGGGCAGAGAATTCAGGGATCCCGGGTAGATGGTTCATCGTTGGGGCAAGGGAGAGCACATCTCCAGATGGGCACAGCCTTTTGGCCCTATGAACTCCTCACTCTGTGAGGAAGGGAAACTGCCAGAGAAAGGCAGGATCAGGATCCCGTGCCCCCCAAATGCTAAGGCCAGAGCAGGGGCCCCTCCTGCTGGGGTCTAAGAGGAAAAAATGCATCTAACACAGGGCCTGGCACATAATGAGCTCTCAGCAGCTTCTTTTATTATTGGGTCTTTGTTTTTGCACTTGGGGTCAAGACAAAACCCAAATCTACTGAGCCAGGAGTCAAAACCACCCGTTGTAAGTCCACAGTGCCTTCTCCCATGAAGGCCCCTTACGCATGGATAGCTGTTGGAAGGGAAGGCAAGTGCTGATGAACCCACCTGGAGGCAGCGCACTGAGCCCCGCAGGACGAGGGCAGGGCTGCCACCCGAACTGTCTGTACACGTCCATGCCCCTCCCAGCCCAGCCCTGCCTTAGACAACCCTGTGCCACCCTGCATAAACACGCCAAGGGTGCCAAGGGGCCCCACCTTCCTTTGACCCCAGCTGGCCCAAACACAAGAGAATCTGGGGCAGCTGGGAGGTCCCAGACTTTTAAATATACTTCACTATTGACCATTCTATACGGAAAGCACTTTCCACTTAGGAAATGTTCCAAATGCTAAAGAGAGACCTGAGTCCTTTTAGAGACCCCCCCCCTTCACATTTCTCACCCAATTGTCATTCGTTCATTGATTTAGAGTAGTCAGGAGCTTAATGAGAACCCTTTTGGGTGCCAGGCCCTGTGACGGGTGCAGGGGATAAACAGCTGACAAGACCAAGGGCTCTGGCCCTCTCAAAGCTTTCCCAGGGCAGGTGACTGAACAAGCTCATTTACCTGGGACAAATGTCCAGCAAGGAACTGCAGGTGCCATCAGAGCATACAAACTCCTCTAAAGGGAGTGATGATCCTGACACCTGAAGGCTGAGCAGGAATTTGCCAGACTCGCTGCAAACTAGAAGCCCCTGTGGGCTGAGACCATGCCCTGCCCTTACCCGCCCCCAGGACCCAGCCCAGGTGCCTAACCCCCACCCCGTGAGTCCAACCTGAAGCCAAGACTGGAGCGGAGACCTGATCGGAAGAGGACAGGGTTGCAGGCAGAGGGACAGCGACAGTGCCACGGCCCCAGACTGATGGGTGACAGAGAAAGCTGGCATCTCCCAAGGTCTGTCCTAAAAAACCTCTGGATAGGACGGAATTAGAGCTGCCAGATCTAGACATGTCTGCCATGTCCATCTGCTCAATTTTTTGATTTCAATATGCAGGCAGGACAACTTGAAAGTGAAGCAAGAAGATGTTTAAGGGACAATAAATAGCAATTAAAAAGCGTGGCCAGAGCTACCCTTCCCAGGGCTCACACTTCTTTGTTAGTTTCAAAGCAGTAGATGGCTCACATGGCAGCTTTTCAAAATATACATCCTGAACTTCTTAGCCTAGTTCCAAGGAAGCAAATCATTTTTCAAGCATGATAAAAGGTTATAAAATCCCTCGGTGTGTGGGCAGTGGGAGGGAGCGTTTCCTTTCTCTGTTTCATCCCCGGGCCTAAGTTGATGTGAGGCATAGCCAAGCCTTGGGATTTGCCACCTGTGTGCTCTATGACACCCCCACTGCTTCCTGGAACCAGGAGACCAAGCATGGCACTGCGGTACGGCCCATGTGATGACTTTGTGGAAGGCGGCTGTTCATTCAATAGCCCTGAACCACGTGGGGAGAAAGTTCATTCCTTTTTCTCTTCCAGTCTTTCTGATTGGGTCAAGCAGAGAGTCTCAGTGAGGTGCCACTATGTCTTTAACACCTCATACTTTTAGAACTTTCTTTTTAACAAAGAGATTAAGTCTTGGCAAGCGACAGTATCTGGCTAGAGCTTCAGACCTCTGCTTTTTTCCCACTGTTTTATGTCCATGCTTGTCTTCTATTTGCAGGAGGCAATGCTAGCTTTCCATTGGCCAGTGATAGGTTTCCTTTCAAGAGCAAGTAGATTTAACAGATCTGTACCTCTGAAACAAATAATACATTATATGTTAAAAAAAAAAAGAAGAAGAAGATAGCAGGAAGGGAAAAATGAAGGGGGGGAAATCGGAGGGGGAGACGAACCATGAGAGACTATGGACTCTGAGAAACAAACTGAGGGTTCTAGAGGGGAGGGGGGTGGGGGGATGGGTTGGCCTGGTGATGGGTATTAAAGAGGGCACGTTCTGCATGGAGCACTGGGTGTTATACGCAAACAATGAATCATGGAACACTACATCAAAAACTAATGATGTAATGTATGGTGATTAACATAACATAATAAAATTTAAAAAATGCCTTATCATTTCAAAAAAAAAAGAGTGAGTAGATTTAAACAAAGCACGACTTTGTGAACGTTAAATCGAGGTGATAGGAGATATGGTGAAAATCGTGACAGAGATAGACCAATGATTACAGATGGGGAAATGCCGGAAAGATAGGAAAGAACCCCAACTCTGGAGCCAGACAAACCGGGGTGCCCTGCTGACTGGGAGGGAGCATGCCTGAGCTCCTGCATTGAGGAGCCCGGGCAGTGAGGGTGCAAGAAGGTTCTCTGGGTCTCTGTAGTAGTGTCCTCCATTTTCCAGGTCTGCAGAGCCTCGAGAGGGGTCAGGGTGACCTGTCTGGGCTCTTTTCAGGACTTAGGCCTGCTGGGGAGAATGGTAGAGCTGTACATTTACCAACTGCAAGCACGGGTTGAGAGACAGGCTGCTGCAGGTGCTAATCATAGGCTCTGCCCCTGAGGGCTGTGTGACCTTGGGAATATTCCTTAACTTCTCTGAGCCTCAGTTTCTTCATCTGTAAAATGAGGCTAATATGAGGACCTCTCCCATAGGTTGTTTTGATCACTAAGTGAGGCAAGGAAAATAAAATGCTTAGCAAAGTGCCTGGCACATAGAGTGCATTTAGTAAATAGGAGCCATCAAAATTGAGTTGAATTGAATTTGCTTTCATTTAAATTAATTAAGTCATGAAGTCAGTGAGCTCTGGAGCCAGGAATCTCTGTAGCCTCCGAAACCAAGCCTGGAGCCTTGGTAGCATCACCCTAATTGAGGATAATGTCTGGCTTAGTGGTCATTTTTAATGCAAGAAGGGGACTAATCAACAGCAGGGCATTGGGTAAGCGAATAGTGATGAATCCCGGCCTGGAATCGTCACACAAATATTTAAAATAATGTTGTAGAAGAATATTGAATGTCATGGAGAGATGTTTAGATATACACATAAGTGGAAAAAAGCAGTGCACAAAACAGTACGTGCATATTCCACCATGAAAAGCAAGGAAGGGTTGGTGTGTGCTGAGGCAGAGACCAGGCCTCAGAAACACGGCGCAGAGGGAGGGTGGCCACCATAGGAGAGCGCCTGGCGTGTGTGTGATGTGTCTAGAACAGGCAGATCCTCAGAGACAGGAAGTGGATTAGTGCTCACCTGGGGCTGGGGGATGGAGGGGTGGAGCGGGGTAGGTGGAGGGGTTTCTTCCCAGGCTAATAAAAAGGTTTTAAAATCCAGCTGGTGGCACAACTCTGTGAAGTTACTAAAAGCAGCTGAATGGCGCACTTTAAATGTATGGTATGTGAAATTATCTCTCAATAAAGCTGTTAAAAATTCTCTGTGATTTCCTTCTTTAAAATTAAGCAATATATAAAATATACATGTACATATTTCTAAGTTTTAGAGAAGTCCTACTACATAGAATTTTTCACAGCTTTATTGAGGTATGTATCAATAGGCACGTGTATTATATATACATATACACAGATACATCAACATGTGTATTAATATGTCTGTTGGTCTATCTACTGAGAGAGAAAGAGAGAGATGTGGGAGGTAATACAAATATATCCATAAGAGATTCATGGTTTTTTTTTTTTCCTTTTTACCCGATCTATATTTTCTTAGGTTTCTACGATGAATATGCACCACTTTTGGAAAAACAATGAAAAAATGTTTTGTCTTTAAGAACAGCTCGCTTTGGATTTCAACGTCAATCTAATGAGTGCCAAAGTCACTCCCCACTGGGGCTCACGACTCCCCAGGAATGAAATGGGTCCCCTTCCAAGCTGTTACCTTGTCCACATTGAGGGGCACAGCAAACCTCCTGAGGGTGGGGATGGAGGTGAGCCTGCAGTTCTCCTCAAAGTCCTGGTTCAGGTTGGCCAAGTAGAAGAGCTGGTAAAGGCTGCTGTCCTTGTAGGTGATGACGTCAAACAGAAGGCAGCTGTCCTCCTCGTAGGCGTTGACGTGATGAAAGACCACCATGGGGTCCGTGTAAAACTTGGTGGGCACAGGCTTCCTGGTCCTCTGGTCGATGATGTGAATGTAAGTCTGAAAGCAGAGGCACACCCAGGGGTCAGCTTTCCCCCTGCTGGCCCGGCACGATGGCAGTGGGTGCAGGACAAGACCCAGCCCTGCCCTCCACTAGCTCGTGACCCTGGAGCATCCCCTTCCCACAGAGCTCCCGACTGTTGCTGGTCCCTGATCACCTCCTTCAGATGGAGCAGTTAGGGAAGCTTTGCTGCTGGGGCCTCTGCAGCACCAGGACAGAGTCTGGGGGAAGCCCCTGAGGCTACACCATCTCTCCCCTCCTTCAATCAACTGTGACTCCAGGTGGGCCGTGATGAGCTAGCTCCCTGGCAATGGCCACGTTGGGGAGAACTGGCCAGTCTTCTAGCCCTCCTTGGGGTCTATCCATAGCTGGAGCCCCTAAAACCCTAAAACCACACCAGCCCTTTTGGGTTCCTTCTCCCGACGTCCACCTGCTGCCTGGTTGGCCAGGATGCAGTTGTCATGGTAATCTCCCTTATCCTGGGGGCTGTGGTGTGGAGCGACCTATTCTAGTTAAGGGGCCCACATGGGTATCTGCACACACCTCTGGGTATCATGAGGCGATATCACTCTGGGTGGTAATTAGCCATATTTGCAACCCTAGTTGCCTAATCCGAAGTATGTGTGGGGTTCTTTCTTTTGGCAGCTCTGGCCTAACCACCCTCCTTCTGAAAGGCAGGGAGGGACTACTCCAGGCTGGTCTTTGGCCACCTCCTCCCAGCTCATGTGCCTCTTGCTCTCCTTCTCCAGAATCTAGGTTGAACATTGAGTGGGAGTGCAGAGGAGGAAGGCTTTGACAGCGTGGAGGGGTGGGGGTGGTGGGCAGGTGTATATAGAATTATTTTAGCTCTTTTCTTCTCCGTGAACCCAATCCCTGGGTCGGGCACAGAAACTTTTCAGAGAGCTCTCAATGCATTCCAAAGCCCTTGCCCGGGCTTTCTGCCTGCACCTGGCAGCTCGGTCTCCTCTCTGTGGGATTCTCTGAGGGCCAAGGGATGTCCAGGGGCTGAAGAGCAAATCCAATTACAGCTGGCTTCCCTGCTGACCTCTAGCCCCAGCATTTATTCCACAAATATAGACAGAGGGTCTAGAACACATCAGACACTTTTTCAGGAACATTTTTCCAGGAAAGACAGAACAAAACCAAGCCTTGCTTTCATGGAGCTTATAGTCCAGTGGGGGAGAGGCCAGCAGTCAATGATCAAATAATGTGCCAAGGACAATGAGCATTACTGAGAAAAATGAAGCCAGGTAGGGGATGGGGTCTGTTAGAGATTGGTTTATCACGAAAGGCTTCAGGGATCTGGACATTTAGCTGAGACCTGGATTAACTGAGGAAGGAAACCATCTGAGGAAGAACATTCCAGGTGGAAAGGACAGAAAATGCAAAGAACGTGTTAGGCTAGTTTGAGATACAGGAGGTCCAAGAGGAAGCTGAATAGGTAGGGAGCCAGTGGTTGGAATGTGGGCCTGTGAGGATTTGCAGGCTTGGTCAGTGAAGCCTTTGGATCTTATTCTGAGGAAGATGGGAAATCACAAGACTGTTTTGAGCAGAGGAGGGACCTCACTCTCCTCCCTGAGAAGAAAGGACAGGTCTTAAAGACACATAGTGGTGGTTCCCTCTGGAGAGGGGACTGCCAGTGGCCAGGGGGAGGACAGGGGACTTGACATGTTACTTTCTCTCCTTGTGTATTGTTTGAATAGAGAATACTAAAAATTCCTTGATATTTATCACAAGTAAAAATTTACTCATTTCAAGAGGAAGTAAATATATACACACATATCCATGCACAGATATATTCATACACATACATATGTGCATGCACACACACACACACCCGTATATACAGGCAGGCATACACACGTATACACACATCCACACTTGGAGCACTCAGGTGTGCCCACAGATATTTGGTTGTACCATCTGGTGGAATGCTTTATCATTATGATGTCTAAATCATGTACGGCACCCTTCCCTGACATTACCCAGTGGCTGCCGGGACGCTGGAAGGGCCTTGTCCATGGACGGTGGAAGCTGCAAGGAGCCCAGACATGGGTCAGGACTGAGGAGTAGCCCTTGGCCACTGGGCTGGTGCCGACTGCCTGGCTGATGAGAGCCGGCTTGCCCGAGGTCACATGCTTTTCTGACAGGTACTGTCTGCTCTACTGACTCATTGACTTGGGGCCCCGGCCCCCTCACCCCCACCTGGGACCACTCTGCAGAACCATCCAACTTCAGAACTCTCTGGAAGCTTGGCTGATGCTTCCGGGGAGACTGCACGGTGGCTCACACCCTCCCTCCCTAGGAAACCTCCTGCCTGCCAACCTCCATGTCAGTTTGCTTCCTCCCTCGGGCCATCCCTGTGGGGCTGGGGGTCCCAGCCAGGCCTTACCTTGTCCTCCTTGTGGAAAGCCAGGCAGGAGGCCCAGTTCACTCCCCGGATGTACGCAGTTGACATTTTGAGGATATCTAGCTTGAAAGGCTGCTCGAGGAAAACGATGTGGTTCTCGGTGACTCCGAAGCTGTGGTAATAGCTCGGGGAGAGGAGGGAGGAGGAGATGATGGAGCAGAACACCTCCATGTGCTTCAAGGGGTTCTTCCCCTTCTTGTCCTCTAGAGAAAGGCAAGCCTCAGGAGCAGCACAGGACCTACCACCCCCAGACAACGCCCCCATCACCTGCAGCGCAGCCTTTCAAACTGACCTGGTCGCTAAGAAGAGCCTTTAGATGAGAGCCGACAAGTAAACCGATGAAGGGGCTGTTGCCCGGCTGACGCAGGGGCTCCGAGTGTTCCCACTTAGGCCCCCCTGCCCTGCAAGACCTGGTGCTACAATCTGAAAGCAAGGAGCCCTGGAGCCAGACCTCGGGGCCAGGGGTCTGCACGACAGCCTGGGGGCTCAAACCAGCCTCCACCTGTGTTTGCATCAAGGTTTCTTCGAAACACAGCCATGCTCCCTCCTTTATGCGGGGTCCGTGGCTACCCCTGCTCTCAAGCCTCAGTGGCTTTGCTGAGGAGTTGCAACAGGGACTACAGGTCTGCAAAGATATTCACTCTTGGGCCCTTTCCAGAAAAAGCTTGTCGCCCCTGCTCTGGAGCAACACCTCTTCATGCACACGGATCATCAGGGATCATGATCAAAGTGTGAAGTCTGACTCAGTATGTGGGGCTGGGGCCTGAGGTTCTGCATTTCTATCCAGTGCCCAGGGGATGGGCCAGCTTCCTAGGCTTCGACTTTGATATTTTGCTGTGGCCCATTATTTGAGATGTACCTCACAGGGTTTCCATGAATTTCTCTTTGCGCTGACCATTCAGAAACAGCTGGGGGTGAGACTAAGCACCCACTGTGATAAGAGACTGTTATACATCTTGTGACAATGGAAGAAGACGGTATGATCCCCATTTTACAGATAGGAAACTGAGGCATGATGGAATAGGGTCTATCATTATGGCCAAAGACACAAGGTTTAGGCCAAGAAGACACAGCCCTCTTAGCTGGGCCACCTCCTCTGTCATTAGGGATAATAACACTCACAGAGTGGAGAGAGACAACAGAATGAAATCATGAAGTAGTCCAAGTAGCTCGGCCTGTGTCCAGATAGCAGAGGTGCGCAATACATGTTCGTGCTCTTATTCCTCTGTCAGGATGAGTCACCACTGGCCAAAAGGCCTCCCCACCCAGGCCTGGGGCTGGCTTATAATGAGTTATCTGCAAGCGTCCCCGCCTTGCTTGTGGCCACCTGGGCACACCGTAAACAGCTGACTGGTGGGAGGGATGCTGTGGGGTTGTGGGGTGGTTCTTTTCTTCACAAAACAAATGGAGCACAAAGCAAACCGAAATGGAAAGCACCCTGTCCTAGGAGGCAGGACATGGGCGTGAATCCCAGGGAAGCCACCAGCATGCAGGAGGGGCTCAGTGGGGAGCTGCTAGCATGGTGCTGGAGGCTCCTGCCGCCACCTGATCCCCCTGGGCCTCATCACCCTCTTTTATAATATGACATGGCAAATTCAGATGCCTGGACCATCCGCAGGTCTGACATTCTAGGAGTTTGGCTGGGCGCTCTAATCCTTTATTAGCTTAATTCATGGGAGTTCCGTTTAAGAATACTCATTGTGCCTTCTGACCTTAGGGGCTCACATCTGCCAATAGAGCCTAGTAAGTAGCTCAGGAGCTTCTACAAGACTATGAGGGAGGGGACCAGCTGGGATCACAGATGGAAGCCAGTTTTCCTAAACCAGCAGGTCAAGCCCGCACTCTCGTCATTCTGCCCTGTCTCCTGAGCCCTGTGCAACCACCTTCAGAGGCCAGGTCTCCTGGGTGTGGTTCCCAGGAGGGTCCTGGACAAATAAGGGTCAGGAGCCTCCTCCCCTCAGGAACATGAAATCACAACTAGCCTGGGCTTTGCTCCAGGTTCCTGGCCTTAAATGGAGAAGGTTCAGAAGGCCCAGAGAATGGAGGGGGGGGGTGGAGTCTGAAAGGTTGAAGGTCTGAAGCAGGGCTGAGCTCCCATAACAATACTAGGAACCTGGCTTCAGGGGCTGGGTTGAAAGTGGGCAGTACAGCTTTGGCATACAAAGTTATGTTAGAAAACTGAAAAAAAAAAAATGGATGGAAGGAATGATGTTTGATGGGCGGATGGATGGACAGACAGGTGGTTGGATGGATGACGGATGGATAGGTAGATGGATGGATGATGGATAGTTGGATGGATGATGGATGGACAGACAGATGGATGGATAGGTAAATGGTGGATGAATAACGGATAAATTAATGAATCAATGAACTGGAGCCTAAAGAAAAGCAGGTTAGAATAGTAAAGGAATTTGTTCTTTCAAAAGGAAGCCTGGCAACATCTCTTTTCCCCTGAAGGAGAAAAGTGTGTTCATGGTCATCTGAATCACCCATGAGGGAAAGTGTCAGATTGAGTCTTATGTCATCAATAAAAATCAGAACTCTTTGGAGGTAGCCACCCTTGGCATCTGTCCTTCAAGATATCCCCAGAATGACCTACCTGGTACAGTGGCAGGGATCTTAAAGATCACATATTTCGTCTTCCCCTTGTCCATGATGGATGTGCCCATATTAAGAACATTTCCGGCTGCATCATAATGAGGATGTGCTGTTGCCAGATTTACAGGCACGTATTTGCCATAATCAACCTGCAAAATGATAGCCACCTGCTTTTACAAATGGGGGGAGGGTGAAACTTGATGAAAAGCACCTACTTCTAGGTTGAGAGAGATGAGGGCTACTTTTGCCTATCTCCTGATGTGAAAATAAGGCAGACTTCACCTTTAAAGAGAATGTTTACCCGTGTGACCTGATAGCACCTCACGGGTGGCCTCCTACAGCACAGAGGTTGCAGGGGAGTCGGTGAGCTGTGTGTCTTTTCTGTGACGGTTGCTGCAACCCTGCCCCCTGGCCCTGAGGGTGTCCTCAGCATGGCAGCAGGATTCCTTGACACAGACCAATGACCTGCACAGAGAGGCAGCCTTAGCACTAATCTTAACCGCTGCTTTGTGTCTTTCTGGTTACATCATTTAAATTCTCCTCTTTTGCATGCCACAGAGGCATAAATCTCCAGGGCTCTCTCATAGGATTATTCTGGGAACAGAGAGTTACAAAAACGCTTGGTCAAAGCGAAACTTGACTAACAAGCCCAGTAATGACCCCCCCATCCCCAACAGGGCACAGCCACAGAATAATGTGTGGCTGAGGAAACAACTGTCCTCCTCTCTTCCCCCAGAAGAGCATGACCTCCGGCCAAAAGTCAGGCAAGGCTTCATTCTCTCTTAGCATTTCCTCTCTGAGGCTTTGTGGAAAGCATACATCAGTTGGACCTATGCCACCCAGCTTAAAAGCTGCTGGACATAATTTTGCAGCTAAGAAAAGTATTCCCTTTAACAGATCGTTAAAATGTATTGAGAAGACATTGAGGCTTTGAATAGCCAGCTGGAGAAAAAATGAGTGGGTCTATTGATTTTCATGAAAATGTTGATTTGATTCTGCCCAGGAAAGGTATCTGCTTGGGTATTTATTTTTGTCCTCTTGCTCTCTGCCTAAGGTCTCCCTCTTCAGGTCAATACCAGGTAGGGCTGCTCCAGTCCGGGTAATCCAGTACAGTCATTCATTCAAGCTCCCATTAAGCTCCCATTCAGTGCCAAGATCGTGGACAATGTTATGGGTTGAATTGTGTCTTCCAAAATGATATGTTGAAGCCCCAACCCTTGGTATGTATATTTGGAAACAGGGCCTTTGTAGATGTAATCAAGTTAAAATGAGGTAATTCTGGATGGAGGTGCACCCTAATCCAATGATTTGTATCTCTAGAAGAGATTGGAGTGATGCATCTACAAGCCAAGGAACACTGAGGATTCCTCGCAGCCACCAAAGGCTGGAAGAGGGAAGCCAGCATCTTCCCCTGGAGCCTTCAGAGAGAGCATGGCTCCGAGGACACCCCGATTTCAGATTTCTAGCCTCCAGAATGTGAGAGAATAAATCTCTGTTGTTCTAACCCACCTAGTTGGTGGTACTTTGCTTCGGTAGCCCTAAGAATAAACACAGACACAGAGATGAAACGACACAGACCTCACCCCCAAGAGAGCTTAGAATCTAGTGCTAAGTGCTGTGCTGGGGAAGCTCAGGATCCAATGGCATTAGAGGAGGGGCTGCCCCCGTGAGTTCCTGCAGGCCACATGGCCCAACCCAGGGGGTCTCTCATGAGCAGGAACTGATGCTGGTTGTAGTAGATTCACTGGTACCTTCTCCAGGGTTTCCAGAGTCTGTGGGTTGATTTTCCTGATGTAATTGGTCTCTGTGGTCGCATAGAAGTCTTCTCCACACTTCATGATGTTAATCAGGCAGTTGTCTGTGAAATCGGGGATGGTATGGGACAAGTACGTGAATGCTCTGTGGACGAAGGCAGATCAAGAACAAATCAATGGCTGTGTCTCCCCAGCTGGAAAGTTCTGCTCAAGATGGCTTTAGTTTTCCTACCACTTAAAATGCTCTACAATTCAAGGGGAAAAATTCCAAGTCCCAAAGGATCACTTGAATCTGGAGGACTTGGAGATCAAGTTGCCCAAAGATACCACTGTGTTGAATTAGCTAAGAAGTGAGTCATCTGGGACAAGATGGCCATCAACTGAACCCTCCTGGGCTCTCAAAAATCCAAAGGTCTCCCACACCAGAGACACCAAAAGCTGGTAGGTTGTTCTGAAGTATTTTAAGAATTCCTACAGAAATCTTATGTATCCATCCATAATGGCCCCCTAAGGCTAGCAAAACAGCTAATCCTTGCTTTTGGAAGGAATGAAAGTCCACAATGGACACTCTGAATTTGTCCAGGAAATTAGGTTTTTTTTTTTCTTTAAAGGAAAGTAAACAAACTATGAGAGAAAAACTCATCAGTTTGATCAGAAGATCCTGGATCCATGTATTGGTTAGTGCTCCCCCTGCTGGTGAATGGTGAAGCAGCAAAGCCACCCAACAAGGGGTGGTTTTGCGTTCCTTCCCTCCCCCCTCCATCCCCTCCCCACTTCCTCCGTGGCTCCTCCCCTCCTGCAAATGCCAGTTCAGGGCTTGCTGTGTGCCAGCCCCAGCACTGGATACTGGAACTGGAAAGATGACATCAGTTCCAGGAAAGCAGGAGCAATCTTCCATCTCTGGACCAGTCTACTGCTAGCACATTTCCTAACTCGTCTATATCTGAAGAGTACCAGGAAGGAGACACTGACAGTGGGTCTGATTCCCTGGCCAACAGTTTAATCATCAAGCCTGTACTACATTCATAGTCATCACAGCCCAGGTGATTTGAAACATATTCAACTAAAAACCTTTCCCTGTCTCTTTCTCTCATTTGCCAGTTTCCCACCTCACAGATCCTCCCACTTTCTCTACGCACATACAAGCAAAAATAAATCCAGATTTCTTCTTGCTTTTTTACACAAAACATAGCATAGCATATGCTCTTTCTACACCTTATTCCGCCCTGTGCCTACCACTCAACAAGGTATCTGGGAAATCTTTCCATTCAGCACATAGGGAGCATCCTCATCACCCCCCACCTTTTTTGCTCCTGCCTGGTATTTTCTTGTACAGCTTCACTCTTATTTATTTAACTACCCTTCTGCTGATGAGCATTTGGGTTATGTTCAGTTCCTCATTATAACAAATGATGCAGCCATGGATAACATTGTACGTTTGCCATTCCAGACGCGAGCAAGCCTCTCTCTAGACTGAAGAGAACGTGCGTTTATAATTTTTGAGATATAATTCCAAATTGCTCTCCTACCAGCCACATGGAAAAATACCTAATAATATGTCAGATGCCCTTTGCCTCTTGCTATCAGTGATCAAGAACTGTGTGCCATAGACGGGCAAAGCCTGGCCAGGTGAAGGTTTTCATGTACTCTACAGAGGATTGTCAGAGGAGAGGACGCTGGTTGTTGTTTTGACCACCACGGATATCAAAAAGCATGACCAGATTCAAAACAGACAGTTACTTGGAAAATATGTTTTTGCAGGGGTCTGGATAGGCCATCGTTCCAAACTCTGACACCACAATCCTGTTGGCCTCGATGTTGGCATTGTAGGTATCACTTCTCAGGTATTTGCTCCTGTAATAGACTTCACCTAAAAGAGAACATGCAGAATCATCCAGGCTGACACTTTTACAGTCAATTTTAAGGTCAATTTCAGTCATTGTAGGGGTATTAGAGAAGGAAAGGTGAGTTCAGTAGGATGGTGTTCTTTAGTGTGTGCTGGATACAAGGAACATTTGCAGTGAGCTCTCACACACATTTCCTCACTTGAGACAACAATATGGCAAGGTAAGTATCCCTATGAGCTCCATTTTACATAGCAGGGGACTGAGGCTCAGACATGTTCAGTCACCTTGCCAAGAGGTGCTGATCTGGCCCATTGACCATCTCTTCCACCATGCTAGTATCCCTCCAGGGAAGGTCCGAATTTGGAGGACTGGTCCAGAAGCCCTCATACTTGGCCTGGGTTTCCTCAGGACCTGGTTTAGCCCTAGAAACCTTCCATTGACCATTTCAGCCCCTGGAGTAATATTTGATACCTACTACAGCCAGAGGGTGACCTAGCACCTGATTCCATATATGGTAAAGTGTCAGTACCTGTGTGGAGGTCTCATTCACATAGACACTGGAGAAAATCTAACTCACTGCATAAAAGCAGGGACTCTTGACCAGTTCATCAAGACCAACCTGAAAATGTATGTATGTTTATAGACCTGTATTAGGTTCCTATGGCTGTTGTAACAAATTACCACAAACTTAGTGGCTTAAAATGACACAAATTTGTTATCTTACCATTTTGGAAGATGTAGCCTGAATGGGTCTTACAGGCCTAAAAAGCAAGGTGTCAGCAGGGAATCTATTTCTGGCTTTTCTAGCTTCTAGAAGTTGCCTGCATTGCTTGGCTTATGGTCACATGACTGTAACCTCTGATGCTATTGTCACATCTTTTCTGACTCTGACCTCCCTCTTTCCCTTGTGATGACGCTCGTAATTACACTGAACCCACCTGGATAATCTCCCCACCTCAAGGTCCTTAACTTAATCACATCTGCAAAAGACCCTTTTACTTTGCAGAGTAATGTAATATATTCACAGTTTCCTTCTGGAAGAGAAAGGGGAGCAGGGGTGGGGGAGAAGAGAGGAGAGAGCTGAGAAGGCCCAGCTCGGAGTGGATGGATCAGGAAAGGCTTCCTGGAGGAGGTGGGACTTGAAATAGCCCTTGGAAAATGAATAAAATTATTTGCCCTCCATAGACTGGGGAGGTGGCAAGTAGGAGAGAGAGTAGTGCATTTCCATTCACTCTTCCTTGAAAGTCTGAAAGCGAAGGGCTGGAGGTGGGAAAGGCAGCCCACCTCCTGCAGGAGCTGAGTAACATGGGTATCAGCATGAGGCAGGGGCTTGGGAGCAGCCCTATGGGATGAGGTTAAGGGGTGGGGGCTCTACTGGCATATATGAGGCCTTCAAACCATTTGGTGGACAATTTGAAACCTCTAGGTTTTTAAATTTTTATTTAATTTTGCTGTTAATTAGCAAGTGACGTGTTGATTTTTCCCTGCTATAGAATACATTCTTTGCTGTAATATAATATATGTTTCCAATGTTGGTTCAAATATAATATGCAAAAAGCCCAGGTCATACTGACATTTCATTCCCATAAAACAAGTTGATTAGAGAAATATCCATCATGTATCCACTGTCATGATGATGGGCTTAGGAGAGAACACCTTCCCAAGAAATTCTTGTCTGGTGACTTTTTATATCTAAGAAAGGAAACAGTGCTAAGAGCTAACATTTATTGTGCACATGTGTGCTAAGTACTGTGTGGACACTTTATGTGTATTTTTTCTGGTTTGATTCTAAAACATTGGAAGTGTATAGAATACATCAACCAGAAATGTGTTCTTAAGGGGGGGGGAATCAACCTAATGTCATTTGCTAATCAACAAAATAAGAAAATTTAAGCACTTGAGGGTTTCAAATTTCTTACCAAATGAAGTACAAGGGGCTTAGGCACTCATGACCCTGCAGGCCCAGTTCCAGTGAGTTAAAATTGAGGCACAGAGAGGCTAAGTACCTTGCTTTAAGCCACACAGCTAGGGAGGGGTAAGCTGGATTCAAAGCTGACACAGCCACCACCATGAGTTTGACCATTCTGTCTGATCCTCGTCACTAAAAATGCACCTCTGGAAATGGGCTACCATAACTGCATGGCTTGCTGAAGCTTCACAAACTGAACCGACCCATATGAACTACATCCTAGTTAACAGACAGAACATGAGAACCCCCTGGAGGCCCCCCATAACTTGTCCAGTCACAAGCTTCTCCCCTCCCTGCCCCACGAGCCACTATTTTGACCCCTAAAAGTCTCTATTAGTTTTGCCCTCAGGATTGCGTTTTCATGTCCATCTCCAAAGGACATGAGTATTCGTTTCAGTGGTAAGGACTCCAGCCTGTGCACCTAGATGGAAATAATAGCAATAATGGTGACGCTAGTCTTCATAAAATTGGAAGAGACCATGAAAGATCTTCTAGTTCTTTCTCTAGGCTTTGGGAGGTAAACTGTGTGTGCCCAGGGGCAGATCACCATCTATCCTCTTCTCAAACGTCTTTTCACAGGTGGCTGCTGTGAAAATAAGTATCACTGAGATACTTCAGGAGTGGAGGCTCTGTTCTGGGGCTGCAGGAAGAAATAGGGAGGAATGACTTCGGGTTAACCCAGGCCTGGGTTTGCGTATTCATCCAGTATCTATTAATCACTTTGGTGGGCCAGGAAGTGGGGGTGAGCAGCGTAGGCACATCTCTACCCCTGAGGGGATTCAGGTCTCCAAGTGGCTATGAATCCTACTCTGTCTTCTACTGTCCATGCACTTGACCTTGTGTCAGAGTCAAGACTTGGTCCTCTCTGCTCTGATGTGAGGATCATGATATGTTTCTTATGGAGTTGCTGTGATGCTTAAGGCCTGTAAAGCATTCAGCACATAGTAGGTGCTCAATAAAAGCTACATATGCTATTGAGATGCAGTGGGTAGAGTGGGCAGGCTTTGGTTCCAGGGTTAGTCCTAATTCCAGCCATGTGACCCTGGGTGAGTCTCTTTATCTCATTGAACCTCAGTTTTCTCAACTGGAAATTAGGGATCACGCAGCCCTCCCCAGATAGGATTGGCAGTTTTAAATGAGATGGGATGATATAAGGAGTTAGGCCCATTGGCACATGGCATGCACTTGCCAAGTAATGGCTGTGGAAATTTGGAATGGTCCAACAAAATCCTGGAGGCAGGAAGACTCAGCTGGGGGTTGGTGAGGCCACACACACTGGTCTTTGGTCACATGCTACACAGACCCTACTTCACGGCCACCCTGGTCTCCCCCTGACTCAGCCTGTCCTTCGCTGGTCACTCTCTGAGGGTCACCACCTAAAAGCACTGGCTAAGGTGCTTTCCCTAAAATGCTGGATTAAGTTCACTTGAAATGTAAACACCCATCCCAGGCTAGCTGTCAGCAGGAGGCCCATTTCCTATAAACAACCAGCCTCAGAGCACGCATGGAGGGCTCAGGGGCCACAGGAAAACATGTCTCTGGAATTACTCAAGGCTGACACTCAACTCTGAGGCTGAGATTAAAGAAGGCCACCACACATTCCCCAGAACCCTGCTCCCTGGTGAGCCCCAATTAGCCACATTCCTTCTAAAGGGACACAAGTAAACGGATGTGCTCCTGCCTGGAATCTTCTAGAACTGGGTCAAGTTTGATATTCTTGGGGGAGTGGGAGATTATATATATATATATATATCTATCTCTACTTCCATTTTAAGCAAACTTCCAAAAGGCTAGTTTAAAGCTATAATAATTGAAAAAGCTCCAGAAAAGGCTAAATTCTGGAGAGCTCTTTTTGTCTCTAAACCTTGGTGATGCTGGCTCTTGGAATTCACATGTTGAAATCCTCGTGGGACAATGACCTTGCCTCTAAATAAAAAATTATCGAAATGTACTGCTGAGGGAGACTTGAGTTTATTCATCTCTATGCCTGCTTTATAAAAATTTTTAATTTTGAAATAATTTTAAGGGCGCCTCGGTGGCTCATTTGGTTAAGTGTCCGACACTTGAACTCAGCTCAGGTCTTGATCTCAGGGTGATGAGTTCAAGCCCTGTGCTGGGTGTGAAGCCTACTTAAAAAAAAAAAAATTATTTTAGACTTACAAAAAAGAGCACTCCTATATACCCTTTGTCTGGCTTCTCCTCCACTCCGCTCCTTTAGTTAAATCTTAGGTTTTTAAAACATTAACTTTCACTGGTTTCTGCTGAAGGCCACAATTTTTCTATCTTTCTGCTTTCTTATTCCAGTCTTTTCTTACTGGTTTGGCACTGATTCAGGTTTTCCATGCTGGCTGTACACTCATCACCTGGTGCTTTGAAACAGTGGCAGAAGCCTGAGCCCTACCTCCACAGTGCACTGATGAATTTGGTCTTGGGTGGGACAGGGCAGAGAGACTGGAGGTTCACTGCAGAGGTCTTCTTTTTTTTTTTTTTTTATTAACACATAATGTATTATTTGTTTCAGAGGTACAGGTCTGTGATTCATCAGTCTTACACAATTCACAGCTTTCACCATAGCACATATCCTCCCCAATGTCCATCACCCAGTCACCCCATTCCTCCCAACCCCCCCACTCCAGTAACCCTCAGTTTGTTTCCTGAGATTAAGAGTCTCTTATGGTTTGTCTCCCTCTCTGGTTTCATCTTGTTTCATTTTTCCCTCTCTTCCCCTATGATCCTGTCTTGTTTCTCAAATTCCTCGTATCAGTGAGATCATATGATAATTGTCTTTCTCTGATTGACTTATCTCGCTTAGCATAATACCCTCTAGTTCAATCAACGTCGTTGCAAATGGCAAGATTTCATTTTTTGATGGCTGCATAATATTCCTGTGTGTGTGTGTGTGTGTGTGTGTGTGTGTACACCACATCTTCTTTATCCATTCATCTGTCGATGCACATCTAGGCTCTTTCCACAGTTTGGCTATTGTGGACATTACTGCTATAAACATTGGGGCGCACATGCCCCTTTGGATCACTACATTTGTATCTTTGGGGTAAATACCCAGTCGTGCAATTGCTGGGTTGTAGGGTAGCTCTATTTTCAATTTTTTGAGGAACCTCCATACTGTTTTCCAGAGTGGCTGCACCAGCTCACTGCAGAGGTTTTTTGAAACCTCAGTGTGCTCAGGGCCATCTAGGAAATGTGTTAGAAACACCGATGCTCTGACTGTCCCCTTCAGGATTATGATTCACTCAGCCCTGGGTGGGGTCTCAGGATTTGGAGCTTTAATCCTAGGGGATTCCGATGTTAAGAGGTACACAAACCACCTTTTGAGAAATATTGGCTTTGTGTTATCTGTAAATCAGAGAACTCTGCTCACCCCGTGCATGTCCTCTTGAATCATGTATAGTAGTACTTAACATTTTTGGTTTATGTTTCTACTCTTGGGGAGTAGAATGGGGAGCCATTGAGAGTTGTAGAGGAGAGGAGAGATGAGGCCAGGCTGTGCCGCACTAATGTTGGCAATCTGACAGCCTCGAGAGGATTGGGCTGGAGAGATGAGGAGGGAGGGTAGCCAGCAAGAGGGGGAAGCAGAGCAGAACAGCGTAAGTCTTCGGTCATGAGATTCTAGATTTAGAGAGCATTGGGTTTATATCTGACATCCACCACTTCCTAGCTGTGTGCCTTTGGGCAAGTTACTTAGCCTCTCTGGGCATCAGGCTCATCTGTAAAATCAAGAGGTACCTTCCTCAGAAGCTGTAGTGAGGGCTGAGTTGTGGGTGGGCACAAAGCACTTGAGCCAGTGGCCAGCAAGCACTCCCTGTAGTGAGTGTTGATGAGATCGACTGGGAACGTATTGCTTCCTTCTCCCAAAACAACCTTTACCTCGTTCATGCCATTTGGGCTCCATAAAGAGTTTCCTAGTGCCCCTCTGGGCCAGGCCCAGTGCCAGGTAATGAAGACACAACAATTTGAACAGAAACCCTGTGTTCTGGGGCCTCCCACCCTAGGCTGGAGAATGGCAAGCTGATCATTGCAAAGCAGAGTAGGGCATGTACCTTCGACACAGGCCAGGTTCAAGAGCAGGATGGGGAAGGACGAGTAATTGAGTGGACTCTCTGTACTTCCCATTTTCCAGCCAGTTCCAGATTATGCATAGAATCAAGTCTTTCATGCTATTGCATATTTTTTAAAATTTTCCTATATATTATGTTTTGATATCTTAAAAAACCTTTCTGGTTGGAGGAGACTGTCCTTCCCTGGACTAGCCAATTTTTAGAGGTAGCAAAGGGCCCAGCATATCTGTGAGATGAAAACTAACCTATCCAGAGCCAGATCTCTTCTCTCTGGCCCACGCACTCCAGGAAGCAATATTCCTCTGCCTTCATCACCCCAGGGCCAGGTGCCAGGCAACCAGAGACCACCCCCGAAGTCCAAAGCCTGCCAGCACTACTCACACCAGCTGATCCTAAGCTGTTTACTCTGCTCCATCTTGTCTTTCCCTCAGAAACCCCAGGACAGGCCATGGCCTGTGTGCTTCCCCTGCTCCTGTCTTCTGCCTCTGGACCACCCTGTTGCTATCCGCTGTGGACCGGTGTGACCTGTCGTGCCTCCTAGGACCTGGGAGTATAACGGGCTTTGCTCCCAAGCCTCTCTCTGTCTCCTTTTGTGGTCACACCTAACTGACCATCCCATAAAAGACAATAAAACAGGTACTTACCTTTGACAATGAATTTTTAGTTTGAAAAATCTACTAGAAACTTTTAGAAAGTTTAGCCCACTCAAGGATTTTGGTGGATGGCAGCCATGCTTCTGAAAGACAGCCATGGATTGGTCATCCCCTACTGGTTCTCTTGTCCCCAGAGTCTCCATGGAAGGATGTGGAAACCACCATTCAGTACGCTGTGAGGGCTCACTTAAGCTACCTGCCGTTTCTCAGGGGGATGTGTGGGGGTGGGAGGAGGAGAGCAGGGATGGTTGCAAACTTGAACCCTAGACAAAACGAGTCAGATCCTAGCCCTACCTCAGTGACCTTGCTCGGATAAGTCACTCAACCTCTCTAAAGCTCCCATTTCTGTGTCTGCAAAGAGGGGACAAAGCACACCTCCCACGCAGTGCTAATGTGAGCACCTGAAATGGACCACAAGGGACCTGACAGCATGGCAAAGCAGGGCCTTCTGGAAGGGAAGCCAGTGTACTTTTACCTTTCATGCACATCATCCAGAATGGCGTTGATTTCCCTAGGAATCATTGGTAACTTCTATCAGGAGAGGAGGGGACTGTTAAGGCTTAGAGCTGTCAGCAAATATGGAACCACCCACTCTGTAGCTGAATCCCAGTAAAATCTGTTAAGTTTTTGCAAACTCAGAGCTCATGGTTTTCACACATGGGGTCTCTATTCATGAAATCTTAGAGCAAGCCACTGGCATAGAGTCTGCACCAAAAAAATAATTGCTGACTGGCTTAGACGAAATAGTAATTAAGCAAAAATAACACTAATGCTTTTTGAGCACGTGTTCTGTGCCAGGTATTATACAAAGCTCCTTACACATATTAATGCCTTTAAATTCCTTAAATTCCACATTCCTGATATCTCCATTTTACAGATGGGGAGACAGAGAAAGGGTCAGTAACTTGGCCAAGGTCACACAGCTTGGGTGCATGTTAGCTAGGATGAAGAAGGATTCAAACCCAGTGACAGTGATGGTGGTTTTCAATCTATTCTGCGCCTACCAGGTGTCAGGCCCCTGCTAGATACCTGGCCCTTCTAATGATCATGACAGTTCTCCAGAGGAGATCATCAAGCTCTTTTTACTGCGGTGGACACAGAGGCCAAGGGAGGTGAAGTGATCTGTTTGTCATGCTGGAATGCAGGGGTTAAAGAAAAATGTCACCAAGCTGAAGCATTAGGACACGAACTTCCCCAGCATGTGACTCTGAGCCTGCTAAAGCCTCATGTGACCCATCCCAGACCTCTTTAAGAACTCAGAGTGTGCTGTTGTGACATACAGCAGCTTCATGGCCAACAGCAAAGAGTTTACCATCCACCTCGTGAGCCAGTCACCTGAACCCAGAATTCTGCCTTATTCAGCCATTTCAGTCTCCCCTTTGGGAGAGCCACTGAACTTGTTGCTTGAGTGACTGGTCTCCCTTGCCTGGTGAGCAATCTACTTAGCTCTGTTCCTTTCAGCTCTGTTCTCTTCCTATTCTGATTTGAGGCATGTCTGACTCCAAAGCCAGTAATCTCCCCCTGCTCTCACCCATCTTAATGAGAATGCATATCATTTTGCAGGTTGGCCTCTCTGAAAGAGAACCTTGGCCGCCTTTCCAGGGAGGTTTGTGCTTGTGGTTGGCTGAATGATGGCCTCTCCAAGATGTCCATGTTCTAATCCCTGAAACCTATGAAGTTGTTACCTTATAGGGCAATGCAGGCATGATTATATTAAAGGTTTTGAGAAGGGAGATGATCCTGGATTATCTGGGTGGGCCCAATGCCATCACAAAGGTCCTTATAAGAGGCAGACAGGAAGGTCAGAGAAGGAACTGACTATGGAAGTGAGGGAAGTGGGGAGAGTGAGGGAGAGAGCAGGTGTGCAAGATGGTCTGCTGCTCTTTGCAGGTGCAGCTGGGGCCACAAGCCAAGGAATGCAGGCAGCCTCTAGAAGCCAGAAAAGGCAAGGAAATGGGCTATCTCCCTGGAGCCTCCAACACCTTGATTTTAGCCCAGTTTTGACTTCTGACTTCCATAACTGTAAGAATAAATTAGTGCTGTTTTAAGCTACTAAATTTGTGGTTGTCTTTACAGCAGCAACAGCAAACCAACACAGTACTCTTACCGTCTCTAATTGTGAAGCTGTGGAGCAAGGCCAGGCCATCAAACCAATGGTTGTATCTGGTCTCCCCCACTGTGTGCATTCCAGGCCCGTTGCGGAGCAGCATACCCTGCAGCCATGTGGGAATCCTGCCTGTTAAGAGAAAGAATGTTTTGTTCCCACTTTTCACATCCCAACCAAAAAACTATGAGATGTGGCCATGGAAAGGAATTGAGGTCACAGTCCCAACACGACTCACTGCACCCACTCATTCCTTCAGCAGTCGTTTCCAGAAAGGGTAGGATATGCCTGGATTGTGCCAGCACTGAGGATACCGAGATGAACTGACGTCATCCCTGTCCTCAAGTTGCTCACCACCCACGGAGCAGACGGATGAACAGACACCCAAACCACACCACAATGAAGGAAGGCAATGTGACAGGCTTAGCAAGGAGGCTGTGTAGAATAGAACCTCACCTCCAGGTGGGGTGAGAGCAGGAGGGTTGGGCTTGCTTCCTGGAGGAGCCGCTGGCTGAGTCTTGAAGGGGAGTAGGTAGTGGCCTCCCAAAGGTGGGGAAAGAACATTCTAGAACTGTGCTGCCCAATATGGTAGCCACCGGTCTCATGTGGCCACTGAGGACTTGAAACCTGGCCAGTCTGAACAGAGATGTGCTGTAAAGTGTAAAATACACACTGAATTTCAAAGGCTAAATATAAAAAAAAGGTAAAATATCTCAATAGCAATTTAAAAAATATTGATTACATGTTGAACTTATAATATTTTGGATATGTTGCCTTAAAAAATATACAGTTAAAATTGACCTTTTTTTTTTTTTTCCTTTTTCAGTGTGGCTATTAGGAAATTTAAAACTATGCATGTGGCATGCATTCTATCTCCGTTGAACAGCACAGCTCTAGAGGTAGGGTGCTGGAACAGACGCTGTTGGTGCCCCACCCTTGTCCTCTTGGCACTGACCTCTCCCTGAAGGCTGCTTTCTGCCACTACCTGCAGCTCTCTGCCTGAGGGCTTTGTTTTCACTGAGGGAGATGATCTGCCCACACACTGGGCAAGCTGGAACACCTTGGAGTTAATGCCCCTGGAAGTGGTTGTCACCCAAAGATGGATGGGGAGTTGGGCATCACTTGTCACCACTTCTTTGCCCTCAGCTGGGACAATATGAGGCATGTTTTACACTATGCCCAGAGGGCTCAGCTCTGACGGCTCACAGTGGTCAGTGGCTTGACAATGCCCTTTTATTGGTTTCCCTCCCAGTGTTTCTTGGGATCACATCCCAAATTAAAATACTTACATCTGAATTCTTATCTCTGGGGGAACCTGAACCAAGAGATCAAAGACCAGGTCAAAGACCAGGAGATGTGCCAGTTGTATAGCAAGACTGGTCTGCAATTTTCAAGCGAGGAAGCCTAAGTATTGAGGCTGGAGAGCTAAGCAGGGACCATGTGATAAAGGTCAATGAGACCACACCAAGGGCTTTTATTAGACACTCAGAAGAATGGGACAGCTTGGCCAGTTAAAACAGGGAATGAGAGGATCTGATTTTTGTGCGTGTGCAATTTTTTTCTTGAGATAAAATTCACATAACAACAAAAAAAAAATCCACCATTTTAAGGTGTACAATTCAGGGGTTTTTAATATATTCACAATGTTATGCAATCATCACCATCTAGTTCCAGAACATTCCATCACCCCAAAACAAAGTCCTGTCCTCCTGACAACCACTCATCTACTTTCTAAGGATCTACCTCTTCTGGACAGCTCATATGAATGGAATATGCTTAGATTTGGGGTTTTAAAAGTTGTCTTTGTGGTGTAGAGTGTGGTGGGAGGAGGAGCCAAGAAGAGGTGGGACGACCAGAGAAAGGATGGAGAGAAACAACAGAACAGAGAGTTGGAGGATGTGGAACGGACAGGACTGGGAGTCTGAGTAATAGTGGGGAGAGGGGAGGGAGCACCCCAAAGTGCCACCAAGTCTCCTGCCTTGGGCAACTAAGTGAGTAGTGGGGCTATTCACAGAGACCCAGATGCAGGAGAAGGAGCAGGTGAGGCAGAGCAGAGAGAGATGAATCTGAGCACAGTCAAAGCTCTAGATAGAAGGACACATACTGAGCACCATGTGCCAGGCACTGGGGGGCAGGTGGCATTAAATCATATAGTCATGGCAGCAACCCTATGTGGTAGGTACACGCGGACTGTTTGACATAAGAGGGAACTGAGGCAGGAAATGCTTAAGCAACTGGCCAAGAAGGTCTCAGAGCTAACAGTGCACAGCCCGACATGAAGCCTGGACATGGCCTCTGTGGGCAGACATGGCCACATAGGCACAATCTTCAGTTAGCAGTTGGCCAATGATTAGACTTGACCCAGGACTGGAGGCCTGGACTGAGGGTTGGGGGCCTGTCCTTCACTGGCCGCCCTGGCCTTGGGCAAGTTGCAGCCCCTCTCCAGCCCTCAGCTTCCCTCAAGGAGGGAGGCATGATTTACAGCAGTGGTTCTCACACTTGGAAGCCGCCAGGGGGCTTGTAGAAACAGATTGCTGGGCTCCACCCCCAGCATATCTGATTCCATGGGTCTGGAGTGGGCCCAGGAATTCGTGATTCTAACAAGCGCCCAGGTGATGGGGAGGCTGCAGGTGTAGGGTAGAGGTGGGGAGAACAGCCGATCTGGATCCAGGGGTCCACTCAGATCTGTAGGTTCTAGGATTCCGGCTTTCTAAAATTTCCAAGGATTTCCATGCAGTCATTAAACATAATGCTTATGGGCAACATGTTCATGGCATCCCCGAACATAAAAGGATAGCTATTGGTGGCTCTCTTTTTTAAAATAAAAAATTAGGGGCGCCTGGGTGGCTCAGTTGTTAAGCGTCTGCCTTCGGCTCGGGTCATGATCCCGGGGTCCTGGGATCGAGCCCCGCGTCGAGTCCCGCCTCGAGCCCCGCGTCGAGCCCCACGTTGGGCTCCCTGCTCTGCGGGAAGCCTGCTTCTCCCTCTCCCACTCCCCCTGCTTGTGTTCCCTCTCTCGCTATGTCTCTGTCAAATAAATAAATAAAATCTTAAAAAAAATAAAATAAAAAATTAATAGTAAATATACATTTGTTTTTGAAAAAAATATTTGTAGTCTATACAATCTCTATCTTTTAAAAACTTAAAATACTCCAATATTAGGAGTGCTTGAGATGAAAATACAGCTGATTTCCCTCTCTGTGTTCCCATCAGCACTTCCAAGTTTTTATATATGTACATATACATAAAATACACACACATATAGATCCTACATTACCTTCGTAATCAGAGAAAAACAAATATAAAAGCTACTCTTTGAAAAGCCTTCCAAGGCAACTCCTTGGTTGAAAAGCTCCAATCTGACTTTCCTCACAGAGAAATGCTCACTCGGGAAAAACCTCCAGATCCGAGTATCTGAAGATGAAACTGCCTATGTGCCTGAGCCAGCTCACTTGCCCTTCTCAGGGACAGCACAGAAAGAGAGAGCCAGAGAAATAACAGATGAAGAAAACGAGACACAAAGCCTGATAAAGGAATTCTCCCGTGGAGGGTCCCACTCTGGGTCTGTTGGACTTACGGCTCTGCAGGTATTCGAGGGCCGAGATCACGCCGTGGGCTCCTGCGAGGAAATCAAGACATGCTCTGCATGCCCTCCAGCTTGCACACGCAGAAGTGGGAGCCCACGTGCATGTCTCATGCCATTTTGCAATTAACTTAGGTTGCACATATTTGCACAAAGGTACCACCCGCTTGGAATGGGCCACACTTTGCCGAATAATTCCATTGTATCCGTGCCAGTCATAGCCTCCCCAGGCTCTTCCCCTGAAGTAGTGAGAATGACTCTCTCTCTCCCTGGAAACAGTTTCGGTGCATAAAAAGCACACCTAGATTTTCACAGAGAATACATCTGGATTGTGGATCATTCCCCACTATATACTGTTTTCCAGATTTTCCAAAAATAATTTACAATAAATATTACTTTCATAAACAGAAAAAAAGTGTATGTCTAAACACATAAGAAGAGCCCACCGTCTTTACGAAACGCTCACCTGTCACTTTGGCCCTCACAGGTTCCAGCTGCTCCTTCTTATTTCTGCCAAATATGATATCCATGGCATGGGGCGCGGAGCGGGAGTGATGTTGACACTCTGACACACAGACACTCTGCTGTGTTCAAGGCAACTGCTTGCTCTTCGGCTCCTCCTTTTCTTTCCTTTCCACTCTCCCGCAGCTCCCTTCTCTTACATCTCCTTCCCTCCCGATGCCCTGAGAGCCTGGTATCTATTTACACGCCAGGGGGAAGCTGTGCTGGCGTTATTTATCTGTGGCCAAAGGTCAGTTCCGCAGCCTGAGTCCTGTCTAATCTTTAACCCTCTTATTGTATCCCCAAATCCCTTTCCAGTTCCACTCTGGCTTAAGCAAGAAAAGCTAGGCTTCTGCTGGGTTTAAATTGGCGGGATAATTCAGTGGGTGCATTCTGCGTAGGTATGCAGCCTGAAATAATCCAGCCCAGGAGGTGGAGAGGATTTATGATCAGAACAAGAAGAGAAACTATCAGGACCTGGGATTAGGGGAGCCGAGAGTGCGTCAATTGCTAGAATTCCCTCTGCACATGGTGGGAACTTCTTCAGCAGAGAGAGCGTTTTTGTTTTGTTTTGAATAAAGGTCCCTGAACCTCCCCCTCCTTAAAAAATTGTATTCAAAGAGCAACTTATTATATCTCTTTTTTAGAGAAGTAAACATAAAATGTTTACCCATTTAAACCATAAATATAGGGAACCAAAAACTCTACTTGAGAACAATGAGGAATTGTAACAAAACAAAACAAAACAAAAAAACAAATGTCAGTTCGACTTCCTGGTCTAACAGGAACTAGAAAGGATGCCCATCTGTGATTTCAGAGTCCCCTGTATTTGTGCCTCTTGGTGTGATGCCATTGCCTAAAATCCATATTCAAGTGGCTTTGAATGTTGATGAGTTAATGGACTCTACTCCTCTTGCTTAAAGAAAGCAGCAGCTGTTTCCTCTCTGGGTAGAGGAAGACAGGGTGTGGTGCTGGTCTTTATGTAGCTGCTGAGTACAGTTCTTGTCAGGTCTGGGCTGAGACCGCATTCCTGGATCCAGGAGCCCAGTCCGGACAGCCGCCTGGTCTGGCTGCGTGCCCACTCCTGGCTACACACTCCGATCACCTGGCTGCATGCGCTCAGGGTCCGGCGCTGAGCCTCACTACACACCCACTGATACAGGATCTCTCAAGGGGGAGCCCAGCCCTGGGTGGTCTTAAACATGTCTTGGATGATTCTGATTCTCGGCAGCTGTTGAGGAGCCCTGGTCCAGGGGAAGATGCTGCGTGTTTGGGTTGATACTAGATTCAGATTCTTCCCTTTTCTATGCATCTGCCTTATCCTCTCTGAGCCTCCATTTCCTTAACCGTAAAATGGGGGTGTAATGATATCAAAGTCCCAAAGTATTGTAAATCAAGGGTCTAGCAAAAGCACCTGGGCCCAAACACTACCAACTATTATTACCCTTTCTTCCCCGTTTGCTCAGAAGGCATTCCCTTTAACCCACATTTTCCATTCAGTCCTGTAACTTGCCAGTTTATTCTTCTGCCTGGTCTAAACATGTGTATCCATGTCAGGATTATTATTCCTAGGTTGTGAAAGCTGTGTCTTCGTGGGGGTTAAATGAGAATGTCTGGCATAAACTATGGGCTCAGGAAAAAAATTGCACCACCAGAGGCAGCAGCTCTGGTGCAGGGGAAAAAAAAAAAGAGCTAAAGGCTTAGAAGTCAGAAGATCTACCGGCATTTCAGGGCTGCGATTTAAAAAGTGTGACTGTTGTGACAACCCCTCTGAACCTCACTTTACTCTGCGAAAGAGGGTGGCAATACCTGGGCCACAGGGTTTGTGGGGAGGACAATATTGAAATTACAGAAGGGAAAACATGACCGTGTCTTTCTTGTGCATTTTGTATATCCAGCAAAGCAATGGCCCCCATCCATATCAAGCACCTTCTCTGAGTCAAGTGCTTTGCAAAGTATTCTACGTGCACTAGCTTGCTCTGACTTTATATAATCCTATGAGATGAGTATTCTTAGCATCATTCTAGAGATGTAAAAAGTCAGGAAAGATAATCAACTTGCCTTAGGTCACACAGCGACTAGGAGACAATTAGGAAGCCAAGCTGGGCAGCCTGACTCCAAAGTATACACTCTGTGACAATTCTACTCAGTGCCGATGCATGATGGATGTTGGCTAGATTTTTGTGGAATGAAGTAATGGGTAGATGTGTCGATGGGTGGAGGATGTAAGAGGGCCAGTCTTGGGTTGACATCATTGCCCTGTTATATAAAACTGAGAAACCAAGGCCAGCTTTCTTTATTCAGGCCCCAACCATACCCCGGGGACAATTATATGTTGAGGTTAGGATTTTTTGATAATGGGGATAATAAATTGATCATAACCATGGCTATCTGTATTAGTGTTCTAGGGCTACCATAACAAAGTACCACTTGGTGGCTTAAATAGCACAAGTTTGCTTTCTTACACTTCTGGAGGCTGGAAGCCCAAAATCAAAGTGTTGGCAGGGCTGGCTTTTTCTGAGGCCTCTCTCCCTGGTGTAGATGGACATCTTTCTCACCATGTCCTTACACGGTCATTCCTCTGGGCATATGCATCCCTGGCTGTGTGTCCAAATTTCCTCTTTTTATAAGGACACCAGTCAGGGTGGATCAGGGCCCACCCTAATGGACTCATTTTAATTTAATCACCTCTTTAAAGACTCTATCTCCAAACGCAGTTACATTCTGAGGTGCTCCAAAATGTGAATCTTGGGGTGGGGAAGAGGAAGACACAGTTCAGCCCATAATGATATTATGAAGGTTCAAAGAGTTAAGGGAAGATGCTTTGGCTGGAAGTAACAGAATATCTGCAGAAACCCTGAGGATGTGACTTTGTCTCAGACAGCAAGTCATCTGGGGATCCTGGGTGGCCCAGAAGCTCATCCGGACCATCTCACCAGCCACCACAATGCCATCCTCAGGGGGATGGCTTCTCATCCTTGGGCTTGCTCAGTTTTGCTTATGAGTGATTGCCTTCAACCCAGGAATCATGTCCTTCCATAATAACATGCTAAAGCAGAGACACATAGTGGGGGGGAAAGGAGGCATTTCCTTCTTATAGCTCCCTCTCTTTATGCCAAGGAAAACCTTTCCAAGAATCCCCTGAGCAGATTTTTCTCTTAGTCTCATTGGTTAAATGGTGTCCCATGACCCCGCCCCCCCCCCAGACCAATTCCTGGCAAGGAGGAGTAGCTGTTCCCTGATTTTCTTAAACCCATCAGGAGTCTTCCTGGGCAGCATGTTGCCACCAGACTCACACCGGGAATCCATTAGCAAGGAACAAGGAGGGAATGGCCTGTGACAGGCAACCTGCAGTGTTGGCTACAGGCAGTGCAGCATTCATTCACCCCCCACATTCATTTATTCATTCAACATATATTTACTAAGCACCTACTATGTGCTGGAAATACAGCAGTGAATGAAGCAGGAAAATAATTCTGTGCCTTCTTTCAACATACACTGACTAGTTGCCAAGCTTTGGAGTTATAGAGGTGGTTAATGAGACTCAGTTCTGCCTTCTTCACTCCCATTATGTTCTTTTTGTTGGGAGGCAGTGTCTTCATATCCCAAAGGACACACATTTCCCAAGGGGGTTAGGGGTCCTGCAGTGGTTCACGGGACAGCCTTCATGTTGAACGTTTATCTTCCCTCTTCGGAAACAGAGATAACAAGCAGCAGCTGCTCTTTCTCAAGAAGCTCTGGCATTGCTCTGGCCCCATGAAAGCCTGACCCCTGCTTTCTAGGTCTTTGTTAATAAGGGAAGAGTGGGACGAGAGCCTTGTCGCCAGTAGGAACCATCTCCTGGCCTGTTCTCCAGCCTCTCACGAATGCCATTCACTGGATGCTTGACACGTGCCAAGTACCATGCTAGGTGTCTGATGAGCACCATGTTATTTAATTCCTACACAGTCCTGCAAGGGAGTCATAAGCAACCTTATTTTTACAGCCTCAGAGATGGGAAGGAACTTGATTCAGGTCAACAGCTTGTCAGTGCATATTCCTCCCCACTACACAGTAACGCTTACCACATGTTGAAGTCTTTGGTTGAGGAACAGAGGTAGATAGAGCAAAGGTGGGTGTTCCAAAGACAGTTTTTAAAACGCATCTGCTGCCTTCAAGTGGACTGAAAACTGGCCAGTGCATAAGAGAGCAAGGCAACAGGAACATGGAGGGAAGTAGCTCATCTTAAACAAGAGGTTTGGTCATTCACTACCGTGAAACAAACCCTCCGAAACTTAGCGGCTTAAAGCAACCGTCATTGTTCTTACCTCTCGGGGCCCAGTTCTGTGGGCTGATTAGGCTCTGCTGGGAGTGTTTCTGCTTTCATCACGCGGGGTTCCTTATGTGGTTGCAAGTCAGCTGGCAGTTGACTGACATGCTGGGAGGGCTGGGTCTGGGCTTCTCTCTCTCTCCATGTGGTCTCAGGGCCTGTCCTTGACCCTCTCCATGGGATCTCTCTGGTAGGATAGCTGGACTCCTTCGAGGGCAGCAAAAGCCTCCCAAAAGTATTTCAAGAGAGAGGAAGCAGAAGCTGCCAGCCTCCTGTAAGGGTGAACCCAGGACTGGCATAGTTTCAATTCACTGCCTTCTACTGGTTAGCACAAATCCCAGAACCAGCCCACATGCAGTGGGGAAGGAGACTAAGCAAGGGTGTGAACATGGTGTCTGGGTGGTGTGGCCTCTTGTTGGGCCATCTTTGGCCCTGGCAACGCCAATGGACCCATGTGCATTGGAGCCACAGCTCTTCTGCTTACTAGCTGAGCGCCTATGCTGCTTGCTTAAATCTCAGACCCTCTGCTGCCTGATCTTGAAAAGAGGAATTATAATACCTGTCCCACCAGGTGGCTGTAAAGTTTAAATTAAACTGTAAAAACTCTGATCATGCCCGTGGTGGGGCTTAGAATAAAGTGGGAGCTTATAGCGTGTTCCTTTCCTTTCTTTTCTTGGGCAAGAGAGAAAAATTGGAAAGGTCAGCCAACATGATAATCAGAAATATTAATTTTTTGACCAGTTACAATGCATACATCTCTGGCCTGTCCCTGAAAGGAAAACAGACACCCATGACCTAGTCTAGGATTTTAAGTTTGCTCTAGTCTGGCTGTGAGGACATGTACATGGTAAGTAATAACTAGTTGTCTATTACAGTTGCTCTAGAAGAGGCACAGATAGGAAGTATTATGGGA